AAAAAACTGTGGGCATACCAGCACCAGATTACTATCCCAGCTCCGCTAGAGGCCGCTACGGCGACCACTTTGCCCTTCTCGGCTAATACTTATCCCCGCGTTTCTTTGCTGCACTGGCAGCACGAATTCGACACGGTGCGACGCCGAAGGAACAAGGGCCCACAATACGTACTCAGAGTCTCTCTCTCTCTCCCTTACCTCCCACCCCCCAACGGGCGTATCATTAAATCCACAAGCTCGTTGTAGGCACTGCTTCTGCTGCTGCTGCTTCTGCTGTTTATGCGCCTGTCGCCGAGGGCTCCAGGCCTCCCCGCCCACTGCGGCTACGCGTACTTCGCCCAGACGTCCTCCTGGAAGCCGCGCAGCGCCTTCACCATCCGTTCCATCTGCGCCTCCGGCGGCAGGATCGTCGTGCGGAAATGCAGCGTGTTGGGCTGCTGCCCGAAGCCGGAGCCGGGCACAACGACGATGCCGCTGCTCTCCAGCAGCTCCAGCGCCCACCGCGCGTCCGGCGCAAGCTTCCGCCCCTCCCGCGCGTTCAGCTCCGCGTTGTGTTGCGCGTACTTCTCCGGCAGCTGGATCGTCGGGAACGCGTACATCGCACCCTCCACCGGTTGGCATGCGAAGCCGCGGATGCTGTTCAGCTCCTTCGCCAGCATCAACGCACGCTTCTTCAGGCTGCCGAAGATCGCGTTGTACTCCGCCCAGTATGCATCGTAGCTCGCGTCACCGGCACGCGGGGGTGCGCACATCAGCGCCGTCATCAGCTGCCCGTTCACGTTGCTGCACAAGTTGATGGAGGACATCTTCACCACCTGCTCCGTCAGCGCGGCGGGGGCGTTGGTGAGGGAGAAGTACCCGCCGCGGCGCCCGCACTCACCGATGATGCCCTTCGACGTCGAGTGCAGCGAGGCCAGCACCGTGTCCGTGTTGTACGGCGCCGGCAGCCCAAGCACCACCTCGCGGAAGCTCACGAACCGCTTCCCCTCCGCGTAGATATTCTCCTGGTACACCTCGTCCGCCATCAGCACCATGCCGCGATCGCAGCAGAACTTCGCCACGGCCTCCATCACGCCGCGCTCAAGCACGCCGCCGGTCGGGTTGCCGGGGTTGATCACCACCAGCACACGCGGCGTCGCCTTGCGCTGCGCCACGCACTCGTCGTACGCAGACGCCAGATCCGCGACGTTCAGCGCCCAGCCCTTGTTCTCGTCCAAGTAGTACATTGCGGGGGTGCCGCCCAGCAGCGCGATCTGCGCCGTGTACAGTGGGTACTGCGGGATGGGGATCATCACGCCATCGCTTGCGTCGCCGATGAGGATCTGCAGCAGCAGGCGCACACCAGTGCTGGCGCCGTCCGTCAGCATGATCGATGACGCGTCCATCAGCGGCTTCGCCCCGTGGTCACGCTCGTTGATGTGCCGTGCCACGATCTCGCGAACAAAGGCGTAGCCCGCGGAGTCCGTGTAGGCGCCTGTGCGGTTGCCGATGTGGCTCAAGTATTCCTGCGCACGTGCCACCGCGTCTGCCGGGTACTGCGCCTTGATGGCCGCGTTGTCCAGCAGGAACGGCGCATCCACCAGTGACATCACCTGCCGGTTAAACGTCAGCGGCTTCTGCTCGAGCGCCTGCGGGTTGCCGATGTTGCAGTACACCAGGCTGGAGAAGGGATATTTCCCCTTCCCCTCCGGCGTCGCCAGCGCATTTTTGATCTCGTCCGCCCGCATCGGGATGAGGCCGCGCACCGCGTACTGCGCCTCCACCACGCGCGGGTTGATATGGATGGCTTTACGTGAAGTCGACATGGCAGAAATTTTTGGTATTGCTTACGCTGGCTATTGCACCTCAGGCGAATGTCAGTGTATGTGTATAGATGTGGGTGTTGTTGTTGTTGTTGTTGTTGTTGTCACTGTCCAATGCTTCTTCTGCGATGCGCGGAGCCGTTGCCACACACGCGCACAGAGACGCATACACGTGGACACACGCCGGGGTCATTGCGCAGAAACACAACGAAAAAAGAAGAAAAGGAAAAAAAAAAGGATATGAAGGAAGCCAAACGCTCATACGCACTGCCTTCAAGAGGGATGGTCGGCAGGAGTGCGGAGCACCAAATATGCCGTGTCCTGCGACGGCAGTGGGGCTCTTGTGAGTGCCACAAATGGACCTCGTCCTGCCAGCGGGCCGCAGGGCACACGGTAACGCGCGGCGGAAGAGCCAAGATCAAGGTGAGGCAGTCATATATATAAATATATATATCATAAGCGCGTGGAAGAACAGAACAAACAACAACAACAACAAAATAAAACAAACAACAGCAAAAGCAAAAAAAAAAAATTTCTTTTAGAGAAAAGGAAAAAGAAACACAGTAGCCCGGGGGTCGAATTTTTTTTTGTTTTTTTTTGTTTTTTTTTGGGGGGGGGGTGCGCTTTGGAGCCAATGTCATGTAACGCCGCGTTCGCGCCCACTGCATGCCTCTCTACCCGCTTCCTTTCTCTCCTCCCAGCCCGTGGATTGGCCTCCGTGCATGGCGAAACCACACACACACACACACACACCACCGCTCCATGAGAGAAGTCCGTCGCTCGCTCGAGAGGCATACGCGCAATTAGGCGGAGCTTATGCGCTGATGTTAGACACACGCACATGATAGCCACGGGCATCTTTCCCACTGGCGAGCCAACAACACACAGCGCCCTTGTACCTCCACGGGTCAAAATATCACTGATATATTCCGATCGAAAAAAAAAAACAATGAAAAAAGTTCCGCTAGAATTCCGTGGAA